TGCTAAATGCAGCTGGTTCTAATTTCTCTAATTCTAAAGTTTTAGCAAAATAAGTAAGTACTCCGAAAATATAAGTTTACAAAGGACAGAACAGAAATAATTCCCTTGGAAAAAAATCCAAACTGAATCTCTCACTTAAAAAAAAAAAAGATTTTTTTTATTCTAACCAATTTCTGATTTCGATCTTGCCTAAAACTATATAAAATCTTTCAGTACTAGGAACATTCTGATGAAATTTAAAAAGTGCTACTGGCTTTCAAAATCTCTAGGTTTAGGGAAAAAAACCTCAACAATTTGTGGAGTAATTCTGCTGTTATTTGCACCAGCTCTACGGCTGAAGTCTCCTGTGACGTTTTCCCAATTGATCTAAAAAGAAATGTAAATAAACAGGAAAAATAGCAGAAGAAAATGCCCAGCATTAATTACAGGTACATAACAAATCCCATATTTGCTCTTCCACAGACAAACTGCTATGATTGAGTGCAGCAGAAAGGAGTGCAGTGAACACAGCCTGTCTGCACACTGTATAGATCAGGCAGAGAGCTGTTTCCATGTCACAAAAAAACAAATAACAATGTCCACAAAACGCCTATAAATAATAGATCTTATCTATTGACTGGATAGCAGCCAGCATTTATCTCTCTCCTTCCTGCCTTGGAGTGCATTCATTCATTCATCATCTCTGTAAGCAAACCTCCCTACGCAGCACCTTCCCCTGAGCTGGGAGGCACTGCCTGGCACATGCCACTGCACCCTGCAATGCCTCCAGCTCTGGACTCTGCAGGCAAGTTAAGACCTATTTAACTCTTTATCCCAAGACCCATTTAACTCTTTATGCCAAGCCAGCTGAAGGGTGGAGCACATCTCGTGCCATGTCTCCTTGCACACATTAACCATCACAGACTTTAGGGCACAGTAGTGTGACCCAACCATTTCCCAGCAGTGGTTCCTGCTGGCACCTTGCACAGAGCAGCACAGAGTCTCCTCCTGCTCATGTATCCCTACTGATGCTCTCAACACATCCCCTCTCAAGCCTGGCTCTCTCCCAGACACAGGCTGTGATGAAAGCTTCATCCTTCATTTCAGTTCCAGCACAGGCTAACCTGGGCATCTCCAGCTCCACTCTCAATCATAAAGCTTATGATGAGTGATTTCAAACACTGTTGTCCAGGCCTTGTGGCATGATACTCTATTGTGTTATGACAGGAGTATACATTTCCCTTCTACATTTTGATCTGAATTCAAAAGATATGTGTTTTGTTTCCACAACGCAGTATAAAGAGAGACCCCAAGAAGCTGAGCTAAGTTTTGGAGATCTTTAATTTTCCTGTGGCAGGGCACAAAGGATGTTTGCATTTACTGGGTGATAGATACTGTGTGATATTTATCCTCCTGTCAAAGTCTAGATGGGATAAGGCTCCTACAGTCAACTCAGCTGAGAGAAACGGTGTCTTTTCTGTCTCATGGTATCTTCAAATGAAGAATAAATGCCTTTCTGGAAGATCTATTTTAGCCAAATGTGTTTCATTTTAGTCAAACATAAGTTTTCTGAGTCACAGGAAGAGTTACTGGATTCAATTTAATAGTCTCCAATATACAAGAAGTCTCTTTTGAGCTGGAACCATATGAAACAACACATTTTGCAAGAACAAAAAAGAGAAGATCAAGATAGGAAGCTGATGCGAGAAATATCTATTTTGCTCCCTACTTTTTCATCCTTCTCACAACAATCAAACAAATTATTTCGCAGAAAATGATGGAACAGATGAAAAATTCAAATGCCTTGTTTTGATTGAGAGGATGTCAGGAAGCCCAAACATCCCCTCAGTCTCCTCAAAGGCCTCAAGTCCATCCTAAGCAAGGAATGGCAGCAACATGCTGGATATTAGCAAGGTCCTACTCTCCACAGCTGCTGCACACTGGGGTTATTTTAAGCTCTGAAGACAATTTATCAAACTACATTTCTGAAAAATGGTACAATGTGAGTCATATTTACTTCACATTCCTCTTTGTGCTGCCTCTCGCTATTGGCTGCGGGTTATTTATTACCTCTGATGCCTGCACTGAGAAGCTACTTTCTGGGTCTGTATTTCACATTTAATGAGTGCTTTTGCAATTTCATGACTGTTTTCTGAAGCTAGGGTGACACTCTGCAAAGCCTAATGGTTTATGGTCCATTTCAGACTTCACTGGTTCCTGCCCATTACTATGTACATGAAACTACACACAACTCCAAGCTTGAGAGCTTTAAGGACAACAACAGGGACTATCTCACCTCAAGCAGGACAAATTAGTCCATGTTGTAGGAACTGTACCACATCCAGGGGAGGCTCTGGTCAGTGATGGTGCAGGACACACTCCAGTGGGAAGAGTCCCAGGTGACCAAGAGCCTCCTTGGTGTGAAACTATGTACCTACAATTGAGCCATCCCATTTATTGCTTAGGAGGGATCAATTCCTTGCTCATGCTCATGTTGCAGCATCCATAGGCACAACACAGACTGCCACCAGCTCCAGCTGGGACTCTCCATGACTGATTTTGCCTTTGTCACATTCACCCAGTCTATGACTAGACATGAAGGCTTCAGACCTTCAAGCGTATCAGTTGACCTCATGCAAAGAGGCTATGAGCAGGTAACCCATAGCTACACTGTCTTGACCATCCACAGGTCATCAAAATCACAGTGTATCTTCAAAGTCCTTGTGAGGTTGTGACCAGCATATTTAAGAGCCTGTTTAAAGTTCTGCCTAGTAAGACTGTCCTTAAAAAGGACAACACTTTCCTTCAAAAGCAAATTTTTGTCGCTGTGGGAGACTGAAGCTCCCTGGGGACTGGTCTGAGACTGAGGAACACACATTTACAAGAGCAAGTTGTTGCTGCAAACCTCACCACCCGCTGTGCTGAGTGATGTGCCTGAGGTTTTGATCTTACTTATTTTTTTAAAGATAAATACATAGTGGCATATGCACTTAAAACAAGCTTGCTCTGGAAAAAAACAACAAACTCCAGACAAATTTCCCCTCCTCCTTTCCAAAACAAAACTGAAATAAACAACCCAAAACCCCTACAAAAACAAAATACACCCCTGCACTTGCTCCTTTATGCCGGAGAGAAAATGACAGAACAGATGTATAACAGAAGCTATTTATGTTGGTTAATACATTACTGGGGAGATGCTGAGAGATGGTAGTGATAAGTTTAGAAGCAATTAGATAGGAAATCTATTAGAATAGAGCAGATCTCCACCTGCCCACAATGTCGTTCCACCAAGCATTCATTTCTAAGTGATGTGTCACAGAAATCCTGCACTAGGTTCTTGTGAAAAATACGTGTGACATACAGAGCGCACTCGGAGCCTTCCTGTACAACAACCTCCTACTGAAATTCTCACTCTCCTGCTTCCTCCTTGCATTCACATTTCACAGAAATGTCCCCCTCCACTTGCAACCACCTCAAGGAGCTGTGCTCAGAGTACTGGGAGTGATAATAATTCCCATATTTAATATTTAATTTTTTTTCTTCTTGCAAATATTTGTAGTCTCAAAATGCTCTTGTGTTCCACGGGAAAATGTTGGTTTCAATGAAATTGTGATTTTCATGATCAGGCTGGTGAAATCAGCAACACTAAAATAAACAGTGACAGAAGGATTCTCATTTCCCATTTCAAAGCAAAATAAAACAACGCTTTGAAATGGTGATTCAAAGCATGTTGTTTAGCTAGAGCAAATCTTGTTATTTGAATCAAATTCACTGATCTTTCCCTGACACTTTTTATTAAAGATGTTACCAAATTCGCTATTCCTGAATGTCTCAGCTTTTCACCTCTCCATGTTCCTTCTTGGATCAGAAAACATCTATTGAAATGTCCCAAAAGGAAGACATTCTCTTTCCTAACTAATAATAGGAATGACAAGAACAACAACGAGTATGAGAATCACAATAACCTGATCCTAACGCATCGGGCTGTGTTACAAGACAGAGAGAAAGCTGAAATTTCCTCTGCTGGGAAAACTTTCTGAATGCTCTGCCTGGCCTCCCACTAATCAATGATTGGATGATAAAATATATTCATAAAGGCTGTCACTACCAAAGTGCTCTGCAGGCTGTTATTTCCCTGCTATTCCAAAGTCATTAATTTTTGGACAAATTGGTATCTGATAGCCAACAAGCTGGTGCCTGATCTTCCCAGCCATACTGAGGGAGCTGTGCTGAGCTGTGCAGAGTTACCTCCACTTGCTGATGCAGCTGTGACTCCTTCTCATCCCCTAAGCTTTGATGCCATCCCAACATGCTGGAAATCAACCTCTGCCTACTATGTTCACACATGAGATACGTATTTCTGATGGACTTTCCTTTGAAGAGAAGGGAGACAGAGCCCAAAAAGAAAGAAAAAATTATCTAAAAGTAATCACGAGAGTAATTCACCAAAAAGTCCCTTTAGGAACTCTTTGGGTCTTACTGAACTTTGAGGCAGCAGAACTATTGACTGAAATGGGAACCAAAATGAAACTCAGTCCTTCTCTAACCTTTCTAAAGGCCAGTAACAATTAAAGCCACTCACGGTGCTCCATAATGTTTGGCACAGACTATATAACCTTTCACAGAGAACCTGCTGTATCATTTCTCCCTACTTTGCTGTAATTTTTATCTTCCGTATAATGCTGGAGTGATCTTATTTTTGTTAGCAACAAAATAAATGACTGACTAAAATAGATTGAAATCGGGTGACGTTAGAAAATCTTGTTTTCACTTCTGTAAATTCCCTCAAAAGAACTCACCAAGATAAATTTGAATGGTATTTTTATGGTCTCAGATCTGAGGTCCAAAGTTCACAGCTGTGAGACCTGTGAACCTTTGGATCCTTTCTGAATCTAACTGATTCATGAAACTACATTATGATTCAGGAAGGAAGGTCAAAGCAAAACCTATTCAGCTTCAGAGCACGCAGAAAGATTAAACCAGATGAACTTGAAGAAGGTTCATTGGGGAAGGCAACCCACCTTGGGGAAATATCACATCCTTGCTGCATGAAAGCTCCTAGGGAGAACCAGAGACTGTTGAATATCCCAAACTCATTCGTCTGGTCATTGGCTGGCTGGTCCCGTCCTTCCTCGAATTCCTCAGTGTGCCACTCATAAGGGCTGAAGCGACTCACCAGGAAGAGGACAACACTCACTCCAATGTAGGCAAAAACAATGCACATCCATATCTCATAAGCCAAAGGATCCAGAAAGGAAAAAACTCCTGGTTTGGACTTTTGAGGTTTTTTTATCATGATAGATATACCTAAACTCATGAACGGTTTGGAAAAGTCTATAACTTCTTCTCGAACCAGAGTGATGGTTAATGGTGCCACAGCCACATCCGCCCTCTGAAAAGGAGAGACAGAAAAGAGATTTTCAGATTGGGGATAAAATATTTCTACTAACTCCAGCTCACATTCCTTAGACCTCTGTTCAACCCCACTATCTCAGATGAAATCAGACAAAACCAACTGCAAGAAAAAACTTAAAATGGAGAAGCCCATAATATTGGTGAATTATTTCCTTTTTATCACAACTGATTACCAGATCTGTTTTGAAATCACTGCGTTTTCTTTTTGCAGCCACCCAACTCTTCTTGTCTGATTTATCCACTGAAGTCACAATCTGATGCAGATGATTTTCTCTAAAAGAGTTTTATTATCCAGACATCAAAACAGGCAAGGAAAGGCCAATCGCCTGAAAAGGGATGTCAGGATGTTTACTTCCATCAGGAACTGCTTTTTGATTGCATAACTGATGCAGGAGAAGGGGGAAAATGTTCCAGAGGCACTGATGCGCACTCTCCGCTTATTTTGCAATTCATCTTGAAAATGGAGAAAGAAATGCATTGAAATGGCTGTCACCATATACAGTGGGGCTATCAGCAGAAGACAGATCACCCCTGCTCCAATACAGTGTGACAGAGACTTGGGCACTGATGCTCCCTACATGCTTTCC